CTTCTTTCTCCCTCCCTCTCTCCTCTCTCCCTTTCCTTCTTGCCTCTGTCTCTCTCTCTTCAGCTTAATTATGGTAACGCTGTTATTTAGGGAGCCATTATCCAAGCTCATTATGAGTAATTATCCAGTCTGGAGGGGAAACAGCAATACTGCTAGTTTAATTTAATGCTTACCTAGTTCACTTAATTAGCAATAAGTCTTGGCAAAACGCTGGAGCTCACAGGGTCCTGGCAGGTTGGGTGGGTAGGGAGTGTGCTGCTCTTGGAAAGACACACAGGGCTTCAGAGGGGAACACGGGAGTAGGCAAGGTCAGAGGCTGCGGGGGAGCTGGCTGGGACATCCATCCAGGTGAGGCTGTCCCAAGAGTGAAAGGCACAGGACTCGAAGGCCCTTAGGTCAGGTAGCACTTATTAAGTGCCTGCTGTGTGCCAGACCCTACGCAAGGCACTGGGCAAACCTTCTTTCTTTTTATTTTTTATTTTTTTTTGAGTTGGGGCCTCACTCTGTCACCCAGACTGGAGTGCAGTGGCCGCTCCCGGCCACCACAACCTCGACCCGCTGAGCTCTGACGATCCTTCCGCCTCAGCCTTCCAAGTAGCTGGAACTACAGGCGCGCGCTACCACGCCCGGCTAATTTTTGATTTATTGTAGAGATGAGGTCTCGTCAAGTTGCCCAGATGGGTCTCGAATCCGCAGGCTCAGGCTATCCACTCACCTCAGCCTCCCAAGGCGTGGGATTACAGGCTGAGCCACCGAGCCCGGCTCAGACCTTATTTCTTAAGCCTCAGGAACATTCAAGATAATTCAGATACTGCCTGCCTCAGATAATTCCATCCTTGTATGGAGTTCATTCTCTTTTCAGTCATTTTGATTAGTTCAGGTGGAAGTGTCCCACTGGATGCTGCTGCCTGGCTTTACCTCTCTTCTCTTTCACAGAGGGAGGCCTCAGGCTCAGGGCCTTGGGCAGACAACAGAATCAGCTAGAAGCCAACATGGTTCAGCTTGATTTTTTAAAATAGTTTTACATTAATTGTGGCTCATTAGAGTGGATGTCCATGAACGGAAATGATGTAAAGTTGCCATCACAGGGCTGGTCTCAGTGACTCAGCATGTAATCCCAGCACTTTGGGAGGCTGAGGTGAGTGGATTGCTTGAGTCTGCGGGTTCGAGACCAGCCCGGGCAACTTGGCAAGACCTCGTCTCTACAATAATCAAAAATTAGCCAGGCATGGCAGCACGTGCTTGTAGTTCCAGCTACTTGGAAGGTTGAGGTGGAAGGATCGCCGGAGCCCAGCAGGTCGACGCTGGGGTGGCCGTGAGCGTGCCACTGCACTCTATCCTGGGCGACAGAATGAGACTCCCACTCAAAAAAAAAAGTTGCCATTGCAGTAAAAATAGATGAATTGTTCATACAGAAAAATATTGGGTGAAAAATTCAAGGTGGTACCCAGATTTGGCCACACTCCCAGGGAGAGAGGAGGTTTTTAAAAGGTCCGTACAGGCTCAATACCAGGCATGGTAGCTCACACCTGTCATCCCAGCACTTTAGGAGGCCGAGACAGGCAGATTGCCCGAGCCCAGGAGTTCAAGACCAGCCTAGGCAACATGGCAAGACCTCATCTCTACAATTAAAAAAAAGAAAAATAATTAGCCATGCATAGCGGTGTGGGCACCTGTAGACCCAGCTACTTGGGAGGCTGAGGTGGGAGGATCACTTGAGCCTAGGAGTTCAAGGCTGCAGTGAACTAGGATTGCCCCACTGCACTCCAGCCTGGGTGAAAGAACAAGACCCTGTCTCAAATAAATAAATAGATCAATCAGGGCTGTGTGTCAGGGATTGTCCAGCCAAGGGTAAGTGGCCACCCTTCTCCACTCCCGGGACCGGGCAGACCCATTTTCCTATCAGCCGCAGGACAGGTGCCAGTCTGAATGCTGCCTCAGAATGCTCCTCCACCTGGGCTGCAGGCACCTCCCAAGGGGTCAGAGTGGCCCTTTGAATCCCCCTCCCAGCCCACCAGAGACTCTCACACTTCCTCCCAGGCACCCCATGCAAGCAAACTGGGACATCCCAGTCCCTCCTTGTCCCTCCTGTTACCCCCATAGTCCCTTTGCCATCTCATAGACTACCATTTCCCTTTAGTCCCTCATTGGTCCTCCTGGCCCCTCTCTGTACCAATGGGTAAACTGAGGCTCAAAGGGACAACTCCACAGCAAATAACAGCAGAGACAAGGTGAGGCTAAAATAACTTCCCTGGAGGGCCTTGATGCATAGGTCCCCGACCTTGGAGCCTGGCAGCTGGGGTCCCTCCTGGAGGCTGGACCCAGCCCCCAGCCCCAAGCCCTTATATGCCTGTCCCATGGCCCATCTGAGAATCAGTGTTACCCACTCCCAGGTAACTTTATTTCTTTTTTTTTTTTTAGTTGGAA